CATGCTGAGGACTTCCTCACACCACGAACGGCACGGTAGCAGTGGTTTGTTCCTAAATACACAGGCAGATTTAGGAATATCAACATAAGGTTTTCTTACTTTTAAAACACACTAAAAAGAAAATGCAATTTAAGCACGAACGTTTACGTTTCATTTGAATATGAACGAACTTATTGCTAACCATAACTGTGGAATTATAAACGAAGGTAAAACTTACCAATACTAATAAAGTAGCGTTTAAAACACGCCTCGGCGACGTGATTCTCTTTTGGGGGCACACCCCAGTTTATTTTGGGTCTTAATTCGATTCTGCATACCCTTAACTCTAGCGACCGTCTCTCTCAGGAAATACCTCTTGAGTCAAAACTGTGTTTGCAAATGAAGGATATCGCTCTAGCAACGAGAACAATAGAATTTTAATTTCTTTCACCTCTCACATTTTTGTAAATGTTAGGGGGAAAAAGAATTTTTCGATGAAAAATGATGCCAAAATTGGCCATTTTCACGTGGAATTAGACCCATCACCCAGAATTTAGCCACTAATATGACTTATATGGTCGGAAAGAGAAAACCCTTATGTATTATTAAGAAAAGTACAAAGAAAATCCTAACACTGAGATTATCACAATAGCCCGTCGCGCGAGGCATAGCGACAGCACCCCCAGAACGCGTACAACGCATATATAGGTCAAACCGAAGCACCGCGCTGAAGGCGGAAGGACACCCGGAAGTAAGCCTCGGGCCCGAAATCAATTTTCACCCAAAACACGCCACTTCTTACTCTTTCCAGCCATGTTAGTAGTTAATACCATTTTGCGGCAGATTATGAGAAATGTAAACTCAAACATGAACCACCTTCGTCACTTTTTTTCCGCGCACTGCAGTGGACCACTGTCGCGAAAGAATTGGTGTGTGCACCGTTTTGATGTGAGTGATGATCATGATGTCTATTTTTGGTTATTGTGTGCTTGTTTAAGGATGTGGGCCATAAGTTTCACACGAGGATTTAATAATAAACATATCCTTGAAAATAAGGGTATTCTAGCATTTATTCATAAATTATGCAAATTAGGACCCGATTTGAATAAATTATGTTTAGCGATGTTCGCCTTCGCTGAACTTCCAGTATGGCAAGTACTAAATTCCCAGCAATTACCACTATAACATTGTATAGTTCATATTAATTATGCAAATTAGGTATTTCTTTACATAATGAATATCTGCTTAAGATCTTGTCTTTCTCAATTACAAATGTCACAAGTGTTTTATAGCCCTAACTTTGAACACAGCAGAATTATAGAATTGTTTCATTAATTATGCAAATCAGATGATGATTTTCATAATTGTAATTCAATAATATCAAGCATCACTTATGCTTAGGTCACATTTGAAACGGCGCCCGTTCGGCATGTCCTCGGTGTAGACGCCGGCCGGCGTCATGACGCCGAGCGTGCGCCGTACTGTCAGGGTCACAATTAAATGTTCCTTTACGGCTCCCTGTCGGGGCCTGATTGTGCTCCGGCCGGCGGCTCTCATTAATATTCATAAACTTTTGCGGCCGGTTTCTGTCAGGGACCCGTCCGGTGCCCGGTCAGTCGCCCGTCTTGACCCGTGCGGCGTGTGGTAGGGTGCCGACCTGCTCTTACAGTTCGGCCGGGCAGCTGTCAGGTCCTTGGCGGGTTCCTGGCGGGATCCCGACGGGCTCCTCTCGTGTTTTTGAGCAGGTACATATATAAGCGCTGCACTGCCTGCTACCGTTCACTTCAAGTAAGGCCATGTTGATTTGATTATATGGATGACATCCGCGCGCGCATGAATTTTCGGCCGTTTCCAAAAAAAAAGTTTTCAACCATACTGTAAATCGTGCAAAACAGTTGCTAAATGAGCAAAAATATACCATAAGTTGCAAGGAAAACATTTAGAAACGATACCAATGTCGTAGAATGCCAAAATCAAAGGAAAAAAGACAAAAATGTAAAGAAATGAATTCGAAGAGTAGATTATTCGCCATAACATATTCTGTGCCATTTGTTCAACCTTCATGACCACGTAGATGTCATAATGAAAGCAACTTTTTTTTGTCAAAACTTTTTTTTATTCGCACGCGCGCATCAGTTTTGGGGTTCCCAGAGGATGTCATCCATATAATCAAAGCAACATGGCCTAAAGAGTACACGTCAAGTAAAGAGTAGACTGAAGTTGGCGATGCAGCGTTCAGTGCAACCTGCAAACAACTTACAAGCCCGTCTGAGATTGAGATTGGTGACAACCTACATGTAGGTCTTCTGGCATTGGTAGCTGAAGAAGAGAGGCAGGCAGAACCGGTGCGTCGCAAAAGTAACCGAGGGCCTACTTTCGAAAGTACTTCTGTTGAAATTTGGACTGAAAATAAATGCCAATAACTTCTGATTCCATTTTATTACGAAGGCATATGATGTAACAAGAGATAATGTCAGACACATTCTATTCCTGTTATGATCTGTTTTATGAAGTTGGCAAGAGAGCCGTGCCGGCTGTTTTCCCTTGCCCTTCGACATTCTGACACACAAATACAAGGTGTAACACACACAAGTACACGATGTAACACACACGTGGTGAACTGTGCGACGTAGTCTGAGGCAGGAGTTTATATATGCTCCCTATAACCCCCTTTTCCTGACCATCTGATGCACTGATCAGCACATGTGACGTCATAATCTTAGGCAGGTGCCTGTTCGGCCGCCCGACGGGTCCCGGGCAGTGAGGTTACGGCGTCGCTTCGGCGTATTTCGCCGAACGGGGCCCGAAGTGTTTTTAACTCTGAGTTAAAATCGATTCGGCGACCGCGCGGGGCCAAAAATAGGCCGGCAGCCGTCGGGAAGCTCACCGGTCTCCGTCCAGGTCCCGTTCGGTAGTGCCAAAAAACACGCCGAACACGCGCCGAGCGGGCCCCTTTCTTGAATTGTGACCTAAGCATTAAGCTACCTACGTACCAAAATACCAAAAATCACGACGATCCGTCAACCGCTCTTTTAGATAAAAAGAAATCGTCCAGTTCCATAACAAGCTTATAGGGGGCCTTTACTCGCATGACTTCTTTCTACGCACCTCCATCTAAAGTTCATGACCCTAGCATGTCCCGATCGCGAAATATCAAGACCAGAAGTTCCGCTGCAGTACAAAGGGAAACCATGAGGGACCCAAAATCCTATCATTTCTGGATTTAGACACACCCTACCAACCCTGCAAGTATGAAACCAATCCTCCTGTCGTTCTTGAGTTATCTTGTTGACAATATTTAATTCCCTATTGAATGCTTTACGTGGAATTCTTAGAATGTTTTCAACTCAACAGTAGTACTATTCCAACGGCTCGCCAACGGCTCGTCAAAGATCATGATACACGTAACGAAGCATGTTTACTCACATGCAAGAGGTCGCGTTGTCTGCATGACGAGACAAAGAGCAGGTAGTGTCGTTCTCTTTGGGTACAGCACATTGCGGGAAAATCACTGTAGATGCGAATTCCCGGAACTCGGGATGTCGGTTCTGTCCGTCTGTGGGCGAACTGTTGAGCAGGTCCACGACAGAGGAATTCTGTATCTCCTCAAACGTCGTCTGACCCAGCTGATTGGGTAACATTGTAAGTCTACCGCCGAGGTTGAAATCCACAGGAATCGGCAGGCACTCTGCATATTACAAAATAGCCATTGTACCATTCACATTTAAACATCTACAGGAGGCACTGACAAAGATGTAAAATGATCCATTAAGAATTCTGCCTGAAATGCAAGTTGAATTTTTTTTGGCAGCATCATGAAATCATCGGACTTTTACCATAATAATGATTCTATTCTTTCATTTCTATTTATTTTCTTGTTACTTTCAATTTTTTTCAGCATTAAGGGCCACGACAAAACAAATAGTATAGTCAACAGACTTTGGATGATGGGAGTTAATATTGTGAGAAAAGCATGCCGGGAGCAAGAGTAAATAATGCTTAATATCAAGACCTTCTTCCATTGGAAAGAAAATTGAATCTACAAGTAAGGTTATTGTACGAGCAACTGTATGTGCAGGTGAGAACTAGAAGGACTTTGTGAGAGCAGCTTACCACAACCGTCCTCGTCACTCCCGTCCGAACAGTCCGTCCTCCCGTCACACCGCCTCCAGGTCAGGGTGCAGGCATGTCCGTGTCCGCAACGGAAGTACCCGAGGGGGCAGCGGATCGCTGTGTGAGGAAACAGCCTGTTAGGTAGAACTGTAACATTTGCAATGTTTGCCGTAACATGGTCCAGCCCAACGACTGATCAGCTTATTTTGACTTATAACAACGAGGTTCAGGTTGATAGTGACCAGCCCCTCCAGCTTTTTCCATCATATTGTTACATAATTTATTCCAACACCATATATGGTGCCCAGTCCCTGGAGGTCGGCCCTGCCACTTTGCTACATCAATTTAACCAAACACAAGGGTCATTGTAAGGCAGGCAGGACAACCGTGTGGTCCGGGTCATTAACATTAATTTTGAGTTGAAGGAGAGGAAACGGACCAAAATAATGTTACTAATGTGCGGAGCGGAGGTAAAGTTGACATAATTTTGACATACGGTCCTTCAGCTGGCAGATGAAGTTGAATGCGGACGAGCACGGCGCGTCGTTCCATCCGGCCCCGAGGTGGCTGACACAGCCTTCTCCGTTACTGTTGGTTTCCCCCGGATGCCACCCAGTCCAGTCTGTGGTCGGGCTGTATGGAGTCCCATCTTCCCAGGCCCACCCTCCCTCTCCGCTCTGTTTGTTCAGGCCGAACCAGAAAGGAGAGTTGGGATCCACGGCGTTCTTGAGGTCCAACAAGAAGTCGTTCACTTCTCTGTCCTTCGGCATGGCGAGGAGCCCCCCGTCCGTTGCACACACCTGTCTGGCCTGACTGTAGGTTTTGACTTGGTTGTATGCCTTGAAGCACGAGTCCCCGTGTGCGGTGTAACTCACTGGACAACCTACAGAAATATTGTATCCTTTAACTTAGCTTTGTAAAAATTCAAATTCATATTTTTTTAGGAAACTAGTTTATAACTGCATAGAGAACTGGTATGCTCTATACAATAACTCTCAGACTCGACTTCCTCTTCCCGACAAACCAGTCACTGTTAAACTCTCCCACTCAGACTCAACTGGAGCAATGTGATTTTAAATCGGTTCCCATTGACTGACAGAAACAGAAATTGGCACAGTATTAGGTCTTAACAAAAAAAAAACACTTTGCCGAGTCTTTATTTACTACTTACCGCCTTGCAATAGCGTAGTGACCGGAGCCGTGCTTTGCTCCACAGTCATGGGTGTGATGACCGGAGACGTTATTTCCTCAGCAGTCGAAGGTGTGATGACCGGAGCAGTGTTTCCTTAGCAGTCGAAGGTGTGATGACCCGGAGCAGTGTTTCCTAGCAGTCGAAGGTGTGATGACCCGGAGCAGTGTTTCCCTTAGCAGTCGAAGGTGTGATGACCGGAGCAGTGTTTCCTGGCAGTCGAAGGTGTGATGACCGGAGCAGTGTTTCCTTAGCAGTCGAAGGTGTGATGACCGGAGCAGTGTTTTCCTTGGCAGTCGAAGGTGTGATGACCGGAGCAGTGTTTTCCTTGGCAGTCGAAGGTGTGATGACCGGAGCAGTGTTTTCCTTAGCAGTCGAAGGTGTGATGACCGGAGCAGTGTTTTCCTTAGCAGTCGAAGGTGTGATGACCGGAGTCGTGATTCGCTCCACAATCGAAGGTGTAGTGACTGGAGCTGTGCTTGTCTTCACAGTTGTTGTTGCTGGTGATGTAGGGGTCGCTGTAATGTTGAACAGAAAGCCAAGCAATTCAACTGTGCATCCTATTTACCAAAACAACTAGAGTCACAGCCTGTGCTTACGTCAGCACGAAACAAATTGATAGGTAAGTGCAAGCAGACTTTTAATAAAATGTGGAAACCACGTTATGTGCAATATTTACGGAAGACGACAATTGCTGATCTTAATAGTTCTTCAACTTCTTCATTCGGACACAATGATACGTTATTATATATATAAATATATAAATCTATCTATATCTATCCATCTATCTATCTATATCTATCTATCTATATCTACCTATCTATCTATCTATCTATCTATCTATCTATCTATATATATCTATCTATATCTATATCTATCTTTCTCTCTCTCTCTCNAAAATGCAGCAAAGCAGATGTTGCATTTCATGGTGTCTGCAGGGAAGTAGAAGGGGTCCGCATCACACACGGTGGTGGTCAGGGTTTCTACCCTCCAGATTACCTGGCCATTGCTACTGATCCAGACCGGAACGATTTTTGGTAGGCCTTGGTATAAAGGATTAGCACTGTGGAGTAATCAGAAGTTTTTTTACAAGTTAATTTACTGGTAAGATAACCATCATCTAGTGTCAAACTGATAAAACCATTCCTAGCATTGTATCCCAGTGTCAACAAAGATATTGTCGGTCATTTTGTTAGTTATATTTTAAGGTAATTGTGTAATGTTTGGCACTACAGGATCATTTTTATTTAACGGGTACTTTAAATGACATACAAGACTTCAAATCAGTGTAATGTTATTTTCATTAACTATCTTACAAGTAAAATGCTATTTTCTGCAGTTCAGGGCATTTAAAAAACAACAGATCAGGCATGGTTCATTTTCGATTCAATGATGATAGTTTTAGAAGACACAACATACTTCCCCTTCAGAGTAAGTGTAGGGGTCCAGATACTGCTGCCAGGGACGCTGATAGTCTCGATGTTGTCGTAGTACTTTGGATCCCAGCTCAGTCGGCTGTCCTGCCATGTCTGGAGTAACAAGAAACAAATTATTACTGTGTAGCTTACTAGCAAAAAATTATACAGCAAAGTATAGCAAAATTATGATGATGATAGCAAATCACATAAACCTCCTAATAAAAACGAGACATGATTATATGAATGCGATATTATTCTAAGTGCACAGATATTTAATAACTACGTGGACTTACGAAATGGATGACGACAGAGGCAACCAGCTGCTCCTTCTTTTCCTCCTGAAAGAAAAGGTAAAGCATCGGTCAGTTATGTTTTGCTCCCTCCACGAACTGTCTATTTGTCATAAACCAACGAGGATTTGAAATGTGTTACAGATACTGAAACTCACCAAGTCGACGATCTGTTCTACAGATCCAGTAAAGCTGATGACGGGTCGGATGTGGTTCTCAATCCGAGTAGGGGTCTCTGCCTCGGTAGGGTTGTCAGTCTCAGCACGGTTCTCAGTGACGGCAGGGTTCCCAGTGACGGTAGGGTTGTCAGTGTCGGTAGGGTTTTCAGTGTCGCTAGAGTTGTCAGTGTCGGTACGGTTCCCAGTGTCGCTAGGGTTCTCAGGCTGGGTACGGCTCTCAGGCCCAGATGCTAGGTTGCGATTGTTCACATCGAGCAGGTCGGCTTTTAGCCTATCCTCGAAATTCACTGAGGAAGAGACAATACATATCTATCGTTAGGAAGACATATTATTTCCATCTATTGCAGTGTGTTTCTAAATTGTTTATGCAGGTCTACAGAACTGTATAAACAATTTAGAAACATACTGCAATAGATGGAAATTGAGTGTTAATGTAACTAAAACCAAAGTTCTTCTATTCGCGAAAGGAATGTCTAAATAGATTCTATTTATACGGAAAGGAAATTGAAGTTACCGACAGCTACACTTATCTCGGTATGCCTCTCACGTCTTCGGGCAAATTTAAAACCGCCAGAAAATATTTAAAAACTAAAGCAATGAGAGCGCTATTCAAACTTAAATCCCTTTTGTTTTCTGAAACTAACATTTCAATTCAATTAGCAAAAGCCTTTTCAACAAATTTGTGAAGCCGATTTTTCTATATGGATCCAAATTAACATGTTTCGACCAAACATCTAAAACAATAAAACTTAATGTTTCTACGCGTATTTCAGAATCCACACCAAAAAAACATTTTCTCCACTGTATTAGAGAAACTTGATATAGGGGAAAATATTCCTGCTTCGGTTAGAAAGAGTTTAAGCTCCACGTGTGCCCACACATATGTGATTCATTTTGAAAGAAGGACAGATAAGGACATGTTTTTTTAATCTAGCGTCTCGTCTAAACTTAGAAAACGACAACTTTTCAATTGAAAATATACATCTTTCTCAATATATTCCAGAATTTGATGCCATCGATATGAACTTTCAAAAATTTTTACTTAGAGTTAATACAAAAGCATCAAATGATGGTTTTCGTCGAGAACTAGGAACCTTTCCAATAATAATAGATACTGAAATACAATTAATAAAATACTGGCATCGTTTTGTAAACTTGACCGAAGACACCTTACATCGTGAAGCATGCGATGTTTTATATTCTGGTAAACACGATTGGCTTAACCACGTAAACGACGTTCTGAATTACAATGGTCTTTGACAATTCTGGACGAACCCGGGTCATACCAAGTGGATACGATAACCAATCAATTACGATCCCGCCTTCAAGATATATACATACGAAAATGGTATAACTCTATTAGTAACAACGCAAAACTTTCAGTTTATACCGCATTAAAGGAAAATTATAGACAAAAACAATACCTCTCAAGTATACACAATCTAGATATCCGAAAAACGATCACAAAATTAAGAATTAGTTGTAATAAATTAAACATAGAAATGGGTCGATACAAGAAATACCAAATAGACCAAAGGTACTGTCCATTTTGTCCAAACAAGATTGAAAATGACCACCATTTTATAATGGATTGTATACTCTACAATGATAAGCGCCTATTTCTGTTCACCTTTCTTTCCGCTTGTTCAATTGATTTCAATACGTTAGATCCTATAAATAAATGCAACTACATTCTCAGGGGAGATAACCAATACAGTGTTCAAATAGGAAAATACAATACATGTTTGAGAATAGTTAACCTTTATTGTTACATCATACATATACTCTTTACGTAAGATAACGTTATCCACACATGTATTTAGCTTTGTTAGATCTTTACTTAGGTTGTAGAAGACCATACAAAAGTCTCTGTACTTTTTGTTGTGTCAATAAAGAATCTATATCAACAGATTTTTTAACTTTTGAGATTGATCATGATGGTATATTTTGGCTTTACATTTTATATTAAAAGAAATCTAATAAAACTTTATAAGTTTGAATGTTGTTCATGCGTTCGATGTGTTTTAAATTAAAAATACTTTTGTGAATTATGACTAATAGTATTTGTTTATTTAGGACCTTAACAAACAAAGAATCCCAAAAAGGCACACATTTGCTCGGGAGCAAATGCAGCAAATGGCTTCACCACATCCCGCGTACCAAAAATGGATCTGCCCCCCTCCCCACACACAGCCATTTCCAATACTCAATGTTACGGTCATTCTTGGAAGAATCATATTATGTAGTTACAAGTGGGCCCATGTATTTGCATGTTGCAGGTACATAAAATTGCACCAGACATTATACCAAATCTTAACAGATAACCCCCATAATTATAGGAAACAATGTCAATAAAGGTCAATGACCTTACCTACCACACCGCTACAGTACATGTATCTGTAGCTTAATTGGTTGAAAGAATTTTTAAACCAAATTGAAAAAAAAATGTTTAAAAAATGGCCAGGTATATAAAAATATAGGTTATGTGACATATTTCCATTAATTTATAAATTAGTTCCCTCCTTTTTCCTGACCAAAAAGACAACTATGTGCCACCACGCAGGTCTTTTTTAATTATTTAGTGAATAGCCAAATTGAAACCACATCTACAAACATGGCCACATCTGCTACTGCCTTTATGCTCATATTTGGACATGGAGCCCCTGCCCCCATGCCCAAATATGGTAACACTCTAAATATGGTAAAACATACTGCTATTATAGTACATTACCAATGACACAGCCAAGACATCCAAATTAAACCATTCTAAAAGCCTTATTATGAATATGACTAAAAAAAACGTTTGGGGGGGGTGGCCGGTGATAAATTAAGATATTGAATTCATTTGAAGACTTGGCATGAAGAGGAGAAGAAAAAGTAGGTACATGAGGAAAACAATATATCTTCACTGCATCCCTACATGGTGAAACCATAATAAATAAAACATGACAGTGCAAAGGAGGTAGAAAGCTTAACTTTCTCGCTCTCAATCAATGTACATAACAATTGGAAGAGTATTTAAAATAAAATATTTTAATAGGTTTGGCAATAAGTAGGACTTACTTATTCTTCTAAACTGCATCAAATTAAATTGTGCAAGTGTAGAAAATGCAGGCGTACTCAGACCTAATACTAGTAATAGTCATTCACCTGAACAACTGGGCTTGTCAACCTGCCAGAAGCCTCCTTCGACGCATCTTACTTCGGTAGGATACCCGGGCTTTATGTAGTACCCCTCGTTGCAGGTGAAGGCGATCCTTTCTCCCACGTAGTAGAACCTCTTCATAGGGCTTCTATTGCCGTAGTCAGGAGGACCGATGTCCCAGCAACCTCTCGTATCTGAGTTAGCATAGGCAATGGTAAGGTAAAGCAATCATTATCATGGAGAAAAGGAGCAGAATTGAACTCCGTATAAAAAAGAGACCAAAGATTTGGCCTGGAGCAGAACAACACAGAGTTACCAGCTTCACAAAACATCTCTAGATCACTCCTACGTATTTTGTTCTTGCATAAAAATAGTGTAAAGCACAGACACATGTGAGAGACTGAGAGGAATGCCTGTGACTTTGTTAGCTCTATACTACTAATGAGTGAATATCGTCAGATTAGAGTTGTCTAGTATTTTAATATAAAATTTCTGAGAACCACGGACTGAGAGTTTCTGAGAATCTCGGGTGTGGTCTCGGGAACAAGGTATGGGTCTTACTGCAGGAAACGACGTCGCATTCCTGCTGGCTGCCATCTTCCACCAGACAAAATGGCCTCCCCAGACCGGTAGGGTTACGGCAGTAGTTGTTATCTATGTTGGCCCAGGGGTACGCGGCTGTGTAGAACCCTTCCTGCGCAGCGGACCACTTCACACACTCTGCCCCGGACTTGGCTGTACTCCGTGTGCCGCGGTAGTTCATGCCGCCACCGTGGTAGCAAACTGAGGAGGAAAAAACGGCCAAAAATCAGTAATTTATCCTATAAGTAAACAAATAAATGCACCTCTAAATGCATGATTGTTCTTAAATACCAGGGAATGGAAACATTGGAATGACATGCCAATTACAAATGCCACTGCCAGCGGAAAGTCATGAGTCTATTTTTTTCTTTACCTTCACCGTTCCTTGTCGCTGGTTCGGGGTTCCAACAGCCGTGCTGTGGTGGTGGAAACAAGTCACAGGTTGGGAACCGCTTCTTCATCCAGGGATCAGCCATGTTAAGGACTTCCTCACACCACGAACGGCACGGTAGCAGTGGTTTGTTCCTAAATACACAGGCAGATTTAGGAATATCAACATGAGGTTTTCTTACTTTTAAAACACACTAAAAAGAAAATGAAATTTAAGCACGAACGTTTACGTTTCATTTGAATATGAACGAACTTATTGCTAACCATAACTGTGGAATTATAAAACTTACCAATACTAATAAAGCAGCGTTTAAAACACGCCTCGGCGACGTGATTCTCTTTTGGGGGCACAACCCAGTTTATTTTGGGTCTTTTTCGATTCTGCATACCCTTAACTCTGGCGACCGTCTCTTTCAGGAAATACCTCTTGAGTCAAAACTGTGTTTGCAAATGAAGGATATCGCTCTAGCTACGAGAACAATAGAATTTTAATTTCTTTTACCTCTCACATTTTTGTAAATTTTAGGGGAAAAAAGAATTTTTCGATGAAAAATTATGCCAAAATTGGCCATTTTCACGTGTAATTAGACCCATCACCCAGAATTTAGCCACTAATATGACTTATATGGTCGGAAAGAGAAAACCCTTATGTATTATTAAGAAAAGTATAAAGAAAATCCTAACACTGAGATGATCACAATAGCCCGTCGCGCGAGGCATAGCGACAGCACCCCCAGAACGCATACAACGCATATGTAGGTCAAACCGAAGAACCGCTCTGAACTCGGAAGGACACCCGGAAGTAAGCCTCGGGCCCGAAATCAATTTTCACCCAAAACACGCCACTTCTTACACTTTCCAGCCATGTTAGTAGTTAATACCATTTTGCAGCAGATTATGAGAAATGTAAACTCAAACATGAACCACCGGAACCCCTTCGTCACTTTTTTTTCCGCGCACTACAGTGGACCACTGTCGCGAAAGAATTGGTGTGTGCACCGTTTTGATGTGAGTGATGATCATGATGTCTGTTTTTGGTTATTGTGTGCTTGTTTAAGGATGTGGGCCAGCCATAAGTTTCTCACGAGGATTTAATAATAAACATACCCTTGAAAATAAGGGTATTCTAGCATTTATTCATAAATTATGCAAATTAGGACCCAATTTGAATAAATTATGTTTAGTGATGTTCGCCTTCACTGAACTTCCAGTATGGCAAGTACTAAATTCCCAGCAATTACCACTATAACACTGTATAGTTTATATTAATTATGCAAATTAGGTATTTCTTTACATAATGAATATCTGCTTAAGATCTTGTCTTTCTCAATTACAAATGTCACAAGTGTTTTATAGCCCCAACATCGAACACAGCAGATTTATAGAATTGTTTCATTAATTATGCAAATTAGATGGTGATTTTCATAATTGTAATTCAATAATATCAAGCATCACTTAAGCTACCTACGTACCAAAATACCAAAAATCACGACGATCCGTCAACCGCTCTTTTAGATAAAACGAAATAGTCCAGTTCCATAGCAAGCTGATAGGGGGCCTTTACTCGCATGACTTCTTTCTAAGCACTTCCATCTAAAGTTCATGACCTTAGCTATAGCATGTCCCGATAGCGAAATATCAAGACCAGAAGTTCCGCTGCAGTACCAAGGGAAACCATGAGGGACCCAAAATCCTATCATTTCTGGATTTAGACATACCCTACCAACCCTGCAAGTATGAAACCAATCCTCCTGTCATTCTTGAGTTATCTTGTTGACAATATTTAATTCCCAATTGAATATTTTACGTGGAATTCTTAGAATGTTTTCAACTCAATAGCAGTACTATTCCAATGGCTCCGCCCCCTAGGCGTCGTCAAAAATCATGATAAACGTAACGAAGCATGTTTACTCACTTGCAAGAGGTCGCGTTGTCTGCATGACGAGACAAAGAGCAGGTAGTGTCGTTCTCTTTGGGTACAGCACATTGCGGGAAAATCACTGTAGATGCGAATTCCCGGAACTCGGGATGTCGGTTCTGTCCGTCTGTGGGCGAACTGTTGAGCAGGTCCACGACAGAGGAATTCTGTATCTCCTCAAACGTCGTCTGGTCCAGCTGATTGGGTAACATTGTAAGTCTACCGCCGAGGTTGAAATCCACAGGAATCGGCAGGCACTCTGCATATTACAAAATAGCCATTGTACCATTCACATTTTAAACATCTACAGGAGGCACTGACAAAGATGTAAAATAATCCATTAAGAATTCTGCCTGAAATGCAAGTTGAATTTTTTTTGGCAGCATCATGAAATCATCGGACTTTTACCATAATAATGATTCTATTCTTTTATTTCTATTTATTTTCTTGTTACTTTCAATTTTTTTCAGCATTAAGGGCCACGACAAAACAAATAGTATAGTCAACAGACTTTGGATGATGGGAGTTAATATTGTGAGAAAAGCATGCCGGGAGCAAGAGTAAATAATGCTATATCAAGACCTTCTTCCATTGGAAAGAAAATTGAATCTACAAGTAAGGTTATTGTACGAGCAACTGTATGTGCAGGTGAGAACTAGAAGGACTTTGTGAGAGCAGCTTACCACAACCGTCCTCGTCACTCCCGTCCGAACAGTCCGTCCTCCCGTCACACCGCCTCCAGGTCAGGGTGCAGGCATGTCCGTGTCCGCACCGGAAGTACCCGAGGGGGCAGCGGATCGCTGTGTGAGGAAACAGCCTGTTAGGTAGAACTGTAACATTTGCAATATTTGCCGTAACATGGTCCAGCCCAACTACTGATCTGCTTATTTTGACTTATAACAACGAGGTTCATGTTGATAGTGACCAGCCCCTCCAGCTTTTTCCATCATATTGTTACATAATTTATTCCAACACCATATATGGTGCCCAGTCCCTGGAGGTCGGCCCTGCCACTTTGCTACATCAATTTAACCAAACACAAGGGTCATTGTAAGGCAGGCAGGACAACCGTGTGGTCCGGGTCATTAACATTAATTTGGAGTTGAAGGAGAGGAAACGGACCAAAATAATGTTACTAATGTGCGGAGCGGAGGTAAAGTTGACATAATTTTGACATACGGTCCTTCAGCTGGCAGATAAAGTTGAATGCGGACGAGCACGGCGCGTCGTTCCATCCGGCCCCGAGGTGGCTGACACAGCCTTCTCCGTTACTGTTGGTTTCCCCCGGATGCCACCCAGTCCAGTCTGCGGTTGGGCTGTATGGAGTCCCCATCTTCCCACGCCCACCCTCCCTCTCCGCTCTGTTTGTTCAGGCCGAACCAGAAAGGAGAGTTGGGATCCACGGCGTTCTTGAGGTCCAACAAGAAGTCGTTCACTTCTCTGTCCTTCGGCATGGCGAGGAGCCCCCCGTCCGCTGCACACACCTGTCTGGCCTGACTGTAGGTTTTGACTTGGTTGTATGCCTTGAAGCACGAATCCCCGTGTGTGGTGTAACTCACTGGACAACCTACAGAAATATTATATCCTTTAAGCTTTGTAAAAATCAAATTCATACTATTTTAGGAAACTAGTTCATAACGGCATAGAGAACTGGTATCCTCTATACAATAACTCTCAGACTCGACTTCCTCTTCTCGACAAACCAGTCACTGTTAAACTCTCCCACTCAGACTCGACTTGAGCAATGTGATTTTAAATCGGTTCCCATTGACTGACAGAAACAGAAATTGGCACAGTATTAGGTCTTAACAAAAAAAAAAACACTTTGCCGAGTCTTTATTTACTACTTACCGCCTTGCAATAGCGTAGTGACCGGAGCCGTGCTTTGCTCCACAGTCGAAGGCATGATGACCGGAGTCGTGATTCCCTCAGCAGTCGAAGGTATAATGACCGGAGCAGTGTTTTCCTCCGCAGTCGAAGATGTAATGACCGGAGTCGTGATTCGCTCCACAGTCGAAGGTGTAGTGACTGGAGCTGTGCTTGTCTTCACAGTTGTTGTTGCTGGTGATGTAGGGGTCGCTGTAATGTTGAACAGAAAACCAAGCAGTTCAACTGTGCATCCTATTTACCAAAACACAACTAGAGTCACAGCCTGTGCTTACGTCAGCACGAAACAAATTGATAGGTAAGTGCAAGCAGACTTTTTATATGATGTGGAAACCACGTTATGTACAATATGTACGAAAGACAACAATTGCTCATCTTAATACTTCTTACACTTCTTCATTCGGACACAATGATACGTT